TCCTTCACAGTATTCCGCTCATATCTGTAGTTTGGTTTAATGATACCTTTTTGGCAGACTGATGTACCACGGTTAGCGGCAATATTAAGGCAAGTGCACTTGTAACAAACATTTATTGTGAAAAGTTTAAAAATAAGCAGAGTTTCTTATATACAAAGCAACGTCAACATTTACATTGCTGAGATATGATGATACTCTAAAAATTGTTGTGAAGAGTTCTGCATACAGGAAAAATATGGAAGGCAATGTAGGTATTTAGATACAGTACTACACATGATATGAAAACATTGCATGGCGTACGCGATTTAACCTAAAATTACTTCAGAAAATCTTATCCTCAGAAGGACCTTAGACTATTACTAAGTATATTCTCGAGCTCAACTTATATGTATGCAGTTACAGTTACAGTTACAGGGAAATATTCTATGACCACTTTTATGTCTATATTCTTCCAACTTGGGCTACCGTTATGCGAGATGCGGTAACCAAGTAAGCAACCGTTGTGTGAAAATAATTGCTGGGTGGGAACTCACCACGTACATAAATCTCCAAAAGTTGAGATACCCTTTTTTGCCAAGGCCGATTAAAGTTCTAGAAACAATGGTTTGAGAGTAGGTAACGTGGAAAATTAGTCTGCGCAACAATCCGCCACGATCTATATTATTCAATATCATGTTTATTTCCGCCTACGCCCACCGACAATGCATTCAAAAATTTATTTTATAGTGTACAAAGAGTTTCTGAAACCACCCCAAAAATTTCTTGCATAGTAGACAAAGAGTTCTTAGAACCACTGTCATATAATTTAGCCTCCATGAAATGCCTCTCGGTACCGAATTGAGCTTCAGTGTCAGTTTTGTTGTGATTCGAATATATGATGTTTTGGTTATATGACGATTGTGCGGTGTTTCGGTTGTATGACCCTAAATGTGTCACCATCAATTTAATCCTAATCGAGAAGAAGAACGTCTCCAAACTATTTCATACTAAAGCAGGTATCAGACAAAACGGAGCACACATCGCTATTAATGAGATTAATGAGTAGCACACCTATTTGCAAACTTATAATATACAAGTAATATAAGAGATTAGCCGCACTGCCAGCCCTTGATAGTTTCAGATCTGCGTGTTATGTTTATAAACAATATTATTTCTACACTTTGATTATAGCTAATAATTAAATTAATTGGTTGATTGCTGCTTAATTAAGAAATAGTAAACAGAACTATCAGCAGCGTGCTATTTACAACCAGAATCGCCAGCAATTGCTGTACTAGACCTCAATAAGCATAACTTTTACACACTTGCAAGTGAATATATTTACTGCTAGATTTAGAAAATTATAGAGTTTTATATTCATAATTTCAACAATGGCATTGTTTTTGCTTGTTGGCAATAATAGCTTCAATATTACCCAACTTACTTTAATAAAAAGAACGATAATCTGTTATCCGTACAAATTAAGGCTGTGTTGTAAGAAGTAAAAGCTTGGTTTACCAGTTTGCTGGATTATTTTATTTGCATTTAACACACACATATTTACAAAATAAAAATTTAAAAATATAAAACTGAAAAAGTCGGCAATATGTAAGTGAAAAAGCTTGTCGATTCCCTCATATTCATATTGCCAAGCATATCATGAGAACCATAAGTTCAAGTTCCAGTTCAAAATCAATAGCATCATTCCAAAATCGTTGCGTATCACAATCGTCCATTTTAATACGAAGTGTTTCGCTTATTTCTGGGTTTCCTTTGAGGGATGAGCAGCGATGTATGCGAGTGCCTTGACAATGGCTTCTGGTACTGGGGGAGCTGTGGGCAAGAGCTCGCTCTGTGGGTGGTAACCGCTCTCGTCAGCAATGTAGTTGACACTGATGTGTTCGCCTTCGGGTGATATCCAGCCGTATTCGCCGTTGATGTTGCCATTTGCATCACCGTGTTGCACGACGTGGATGCTGTTGCTGGTCTCCAGTGCGGAGTCGAAGCCATCGGCGCGGACATCGTACGTCAGCAGACTGACTTCGGCATGAGCATCATCGGAACTGGTGCTGACAGCAGCGGCCGAGGCGTAGGCGACGAAAGCGAAGAGTAGCACCTAAAATTTAAATGAAAGCTGTTTAGTAATTTTTCTTTAATGGAAAAACACTGTGAATATTAGATTTCAAACAGTATCCCTGAAGCATGATGAACTCACGTATTTGAACATTGCTGTCGATTTGTTGGCAGTGATATCTATGATAATGGAAGGCTTGATTGCTTCTGACACTGAATGCATAACTTGGTAGCGCTTTTATAATCCAATTTGCTGCTAGATTTGAAGCCATCTTGATGATTAAAAAAAACCGGGAATATGTGAACAAGTTCACTGGTTGTGCATTTGAGCGCTTTATTTTGTGTGTGTGTGTTTATAGATCACTGAAACTGTTTCTAATTCCCGTTGATTTGACCAAAATTCTTTCTAAATCTTTGTCGAATGCAAATTCAACGGCCTCCAAAATCCAGACAAACTTGTTATAATTGTTGAATGAACTGAGGCATAGATTGTATAAGCTACCTCCATTCGAGAAATCCAACAGACTTTTTACAATCGCTTGCCTATTCAAGACGAGATGCATAACAATTTAATTGCGCTTAAGCAATAAAGCCAGACATTATTTTTATACAGGTTATGTTATTTAACACAAGATGAAGGGCATGAGAGAAACAGAAAGATATAGTTCATTGTGCGGAATGTCCTTCACTTAATTTCTATTAACCCATGCATGTGTGATTTCAGCAGAAAGCGGTTTATGAATTGTACTAAATGAGATGTGACAAAAACCGTTTCGATGTTGTTTGTCTCGGAAGCTTATGTCAAAACTTTCTAGTGGTTCTGAGGATCTAATGATCCGATCTAAAATTCTAGTAGTTTGCTTGATTTTTGTTTTAAAATATCTCAGGTTTATTGTAAACATATAAAATTTTAGACATGTTGATGGATACATAAATATTATAATCCTTCACAGTATTCCGCTCATATCTGTAGTTTGGTTTAATGATACCTTTTTGGCAGACTGATGTACCACGGTTAGCGGCAATATTAAGGCAAGTGCACTTGTAACAAACATTTATTGTGAAAAGTTTAAAAATAAGCAGAGTTTCTTATATACAAAGCAACGTCAACATTTACATTGCTGAGATATGATGATACTCTAAAAATTGTTGTGAAGAGTTCTGCATACAGGAAAAATATGGAAGGCAATGTAGGTATTTAGATACAGTACTACACATGATATGAAAACATTGCATGGCGTACGCGATTTAACCTAAAATTACTTCAGAAAATCTTATCCTCAGAAGGACCTTAGACTATTACTAAGTATATTCTCGAGCTCAACTTATATGTATGCAGTTACAGTTACAGTTACAGGGAAATATTCTATGACCACTTTTATGTCTATATTCTTCCAACTTGGGCTACCGTTATGCGAGATGCGGTAACCAAGTAAGCAACCGTTGTGTGAAAATAATTGCTGGGTGGGAACTCACCACGTACATAAATCTCCAAAAGTTGAGATACCCTTTTTTGC